AGTGGAGGAAAAGTTAGTGTATCTAAATCGCGAAGAATATCGCCTACGGGGTACAGGCCTGCCACCGCTACCATCATGATCACCACTCCATAAACAATCACCTTCCGCTTTCTGGCCCGTCCGCTCTTCCGCCTGTCCGCCTCAACAACAGCGGCCCTTCCTCTCCCCCTCCCCCTGCCCCTCCCTCTCCCCGCGCCTCCTCTTCTGACCCCCCTCCCCCCAGCTGCGCCCCCCCTTCCACGTCCGGTTGCTGCTGCCGGTGCCGCGCCTCTCCCCCCCCTACCCCCCCCCCTACCCCCTGCTCTTGCCGTGGCCCCTCTCTGACAAAAGAATAGATAACGGCAGGGACACGGACGTGAGCCACAACTTTGAGGCACAGAAAGACTACAACAATGCTACACGCGTATACGAAGTTAGAAACAACACCGTGGTGTACAGCAGTAGCCGACCCCACCTGACAACCTGCCAACGTCGGGTTGAAGAGTGCTGGTTGTTCGTAGAACGAGCTTCAAACGAGCAAATGACAAGGTGTGTTCGGTAGAATGTTTGGTTGTTCGGAAAACAAGCTTACAAATCAAGCAGCATTTTGTCACTCTACAGGCAGGGTAGCAACACGCGAGGGCAACCAACCGCAGGAGGTGTGCGAAAAAGGGAGAAGTGCAACCGCGAGATGCACGCTTGCAGGGAAGAGCGACACACGCGCAGGCCTCTTGTCGGCAGGAAAGCAAAAAAGAGAAAGCGTGTCGCGCGGCACACCGAGCATTCCCCCCCTTCCCATCCCAGCCACCGACGCACACGACTTGACCCTTCTCGACACAAAAAGAAACAAGAAAAACAAATCACACAACTTGCCCCTCCTCGACACAAAAAACTCAAGCCAAACGACGTACACAATTTGCCCCTCCTCGACACAAAAAACACATGCAAAACGACCCACACAACTCGCTCCTCCTCGACACAAAAGCAAAGGAAAAACGACGCACACAACAGCCTACCCCTCTGCGACACATTACAAACCGCACCCATCGCTTACCTCGCCGACAGCAGCAGCAGCAGCAGCAACCGTCCGTCTTGGCGAAGCAGCACCCCCACCGATGCCACGAACATCGTCGTTCAGCCTCGCCCGCTTAAGGTTGGTCAGGTGCGCCACCGCCGTCCGCTTCATCGCCGAAGCCCCGCTGCTGCTGCTGCTGCTGCTGCTGCTGCTGCTGCTGCCGCCGGGGGCCGTCGTCCTCGAGCCCCCC